CTCCTGGGATGGACACAGCATGGAGATGGGCACAGGAAGGTTCCTGTGATGGACACAGCATGGGAATGGGCACAGGAGGGCTCCTGGGATGGACACAGGATGGGAATGGGCACAGGAGGGCTCCTGGGATGGACACAGGATGGAGATGGGCACAGGATGGCACCAGGATGGGCACTGGAAGGGTCGTCGGATGGACACAGGATGGAGATGGGCACAGGAAGGTTCCTGTGATGGACACAGCATGGGAATGGGCACAGGAGGGCTCCTGGGATGGACACAGGATGGAGATGGGCACAGGATGGCACCAGGATGGGCACTGGAAGGGTCCTGGGATGGACACAGCATGGAGATGGGCATGGGAAGGGCCGTGAGATGGGCACAGGAGGGCTCCTGGGATGGACACAGGATGGAGATGGGCATGGGAAGGGCCGTGAGATGGGCACGGGTTTGGGATGGACACAGGGTGGCACCAGGATGGCCATGGATGGGCACGGGTTTGGGATGGACACAGGATGGCACCAGGATGGCCAAGGATGGGCACAGGAGGGCTCCTGGGATGGGCACGGGATTGGGATGGACACAGGATGGGAATGGGCACAGGAAGGGCCCTGAGATGGACACAGGATGGGGATGGACACAGAATGGACACAGGATGGCCATGGGATGGGGATGGACCCAGAATGAGCACAGGAATGGTCACAGGTTCAGGGAAGGAGCTTGGGGTTGGGATCTCGCAGAGTCCAAGATCCTGCAGAGAAAGGGTTGGGAAGAGCTTTTTAAATGGAACCCATTTCTCTTTTAGCTCACTTGGGTGTTGGAGAATTTTAGGTCTTCCCAGAGCCATTCCAGCTTCTGGGATTGGGATCCCACAGGGTTTGAAGGCCAAGATCCTACAGAGAAAGGATTGGGAAGGGTTTTTAAGTCTGTCCCCCTGTGCTGGCACTGCTGGGGCCCCTCCAGCGCTGGGTGCAGCTCTGGGACCTCACGGCCACAGGGACATTGAGGGGCTGGAGATGGGAATGGAGCTGGGGAAGGGCTGGAGCAGCAGGAGAAGGCTCTGGAGAAGTCCTGAGGGGGCTGGGAAAGGGCTGGGCCTGGAGAAAAGGAGGCTCAGGAGGGATCTTTTCACCCCACACCTCCCTGACGGGAGAGCGGGGCCGGCTGGGGCCGGGCTCTGCTCCCAGGGAACACCGGCATGAGAAGGAACAGCCCCAGATTCCTCCAGGAGAGGTTCAGGATGGACAGCAGGAGGAATTTTTCCATGGAAAGGGCTGTCAGGCTTTGGAGCTGCTCAGAGGTGGTGACGGAGGAGGAAAATCCCCATTTATTCCCAGAATTCTCCCCCAGTCTGGCACTCAGAGGTTTCCACGCTTGGATTAGCTCTGGCAAAGTATAAATTCCCCCTAATTTGGCATCTCCACCTTTATTTCCCCGCTCCTGGCAGCTTGGAGATGCCCAAGGATGAGCTGCCCAACCACAACTGCATCAAGCACCTGCGCTCGGTGGTGCAGCAGCAGCAGACCCGGATCGCCGAGCTGGAGAAGACCTCGGCCGAGCACAAGCACCAGCTGGCCGAGCAGGTGGGGCCAGGAATGCCAGGGTTGGGTCAGGAATGGGCAGATTTGGGTTGTTGGATTCTGAAATCCTGGAAAAAAATGGGGGAAAAGCGTCTGGGGGAAGGTGTGGGATGAGTGTGGCTGTGTGGGGATGGGCTGGGGGCTCCAGGAATGCCAGGATTGGGATGGGAAGGGGCAGATTTGGGGGCTTGAGCACTAAAATCCCGGAAAAAACAGGAAAAAACAGGGAGATTTGGATTGCTGGACACCAAAACCCTGGAAAAAATGTGGAAAAAGCATCTGGGGGAAGGTGTGGGATGAGTGTGGCTGTGTGGGGATGGGCTGGGGGCTCCAGGAATGCCAGGATTGGGATGGGAAGGGGCAGATTTGGGGGCTTGAGCATTAAAATCCTGAAAAAACAGGAAAAAACAGGCAGATTTGGATTGTTGGACAATGAAATCTGGGGAAAAAATGGTGAAAAAGCATCTGGGGGAAGGTGTGGGATGAGTGTGGCTCTGTGGGGCTGGGCTGGAGGCTCCAGGAACGCCAGGATTGAGCTGGGAAGGATCAATTTTAGGAACTTTGACACCAAAACCCCCCCCAAAAAAAAGGCAAAAACAAGCTGAGTGTGGCTCTGTGGGGCCAGGCCGGGATCTTTGGGGTGATTCCCATTCCCAATCCCGTTTTTCCCTGCCCTGACAGAAGAGGGACATCCAGCTGCTCAAGGCCTACATGAGGGCGATCCGAAGCGTCAACCCCAACCTGCAGAACCTGGAGGAGACCATCGAGTACAACGAGATCCTGGAGTGAGTGCGGGAAAGAGGGGAATTGGTGGGGTTTGTGAGGGAAAATTGTCATTTTCTGAGGGAAATTAATTGTTTTCTGAGGGAAAATCGTAGTTTTGTGAGGGAAAATTGTCGTTTTTGAGGGAAATTTGTAATTTTGTGAGGAAAATTCGTCATTTCTTGAGGGAAATTTGTTGTTTTCTGAGGGAAATTTATAATTTCTGAGAGAAATTTGTTGGTTTTTTGTGGAGAATTTGTCATTTTCTGAGGAAAATTTGTTGTTTTCTGAGGGAAATTTGTTGTTTTCTGAGGGAAATTTGTAGGTTTTTTTTGGGGAATTTGTAGTTTTATGAGGGAAATTTGACATTTCTTGAGGGAAATTTGTTGTTTTCTGAGGGAAATTTGTAGGGTTTTTTTGGGGAATTTGTAGTTTTGTGAGGGAAATTCATTGTTTCTTGAGGGAAATTTGTTGTTTTCTGAGGGAAATTTATAATTTCTGAGGGAAATTTCTAGATTTTGAGAGAAATTTGTTGGTTTTTTTGTGGGGAATTTGTCATTTTGTGAGGGAAATTTGTTGTTTTCTGAGGGAAACTTGTAATTTTTTGAGGGAAATTTGTAATTTTTTGAGGGAAATTAGTAATTTTTTGAGGGAAATGTGTCAGTTTTTGGGGAGATTTTGTTATTTCTGAGGGAAATTTATAGTTTTTGAGGGAAATTTGTCATTTTCTGATGGAAATTTGTAGTTATTTGGGGGGAAAGTTCTAGTTTTTAGGGGGGAATTTGCTGTTCTTCTGGGCCCTGGTGGGGATGGGACTCAGGTTGAACTCAGTGGTCACAGAGGTCTTTTCCAGCTTCAGCAATTCCACAATTCCACCCCAAAACCCCATCCCTGACCCTCTCTGAGTGTCCCCAGCTGGGTGAACCTCCACAATTCCAGAATCCCAAACCCCCTGTGTGTCCCCAGCTTGGTGACCCTCCACAATTCCACAATCTCACCCCAAACCCCGTCCCTGACCTGCTCTGACTGTCCCCCAGCTACATGACCCTCCCCAGTTCCAGGATTTCATTCCAAAACTGCTGTCCCTGTCCCCCAGCTGGGTGACCCTCCCCAATCCCAGAATCCTAAACCCCCATCCCTGTCCCCCAGCTGGGTGACCCTCCCCAATCCCAGGATCCCACCCCAAAACCCCCAGCTGGGTGACCCTCCCCAATCCCAGAATCCTAAACCCCCATCCCTG